TTTCCCATCTGTAGAACAGACTGGAAACTGGGGTGAAGCAGGGCTGAGGGTGTAAACACTGCAACATGGGGAGTGACCTTCGGGCCAGGACAGAAACCAGGCCTGCTTGACGCCAGTCCCAAGTCAGCCCGAGCACAGCTTGAAAAGCTTACTTGCCCAGGCCAACCGACCCAGCAGGGCCCCGGCCCCCTTGGAGGAACCTGTACGGACAAGAGCTTGGAGTGGAGGGAGGGTGGGGCCATGAGGCAGGCCTGGTTGCCCCGCCCCAGACCCCTCCAGGCCAAACTGCCCTTAAATGGGTGGAGGGTGGCACACAGGGCCCCACAGAGAATGAGGTGAGGTAGGGTAGTCTGAGGTGGTGACCCCTCAAAAACAGGCTGATTGCAGAGGGTGGGGGCAGGGTGCTGTGTCTAGGGCACAGCAGGGAGCAGGAGGAGGTCAGGGTGAAGTGCTGGGGGTGGGGACAGGGGGGCCCTGGCTGGTCTGGCTATGAATTGAGGCTTAACGAATAGGTTTTATTTGCCTTGTCTACCATAGTCAGTCAGCTGTTTGCACCTGCTTAGAAGGGTCTAGAAGCAAGCAGATGGCGACAGAGACAGTGCCGTGATTAACTAGTGATGTCTGCCGAGGACCTAGCTTTGCCGAGTGGTGAGCGTTAGTCTCTGTTTCCCATCCTCAGGTTGACCCAGTGGGCTGGCTGGGTATGCGGCTCGGAGAGGGGCCACGGGAACTCACACGGGGGGCGGGGGGGGGCGAGGGCCTGCTGTCACTGCTGGCTGAAGAGCTTGGTTGAAGGAGGAATTATTTCCGTTTCATCCCCCTCTGAGGTCGCGCTCACCATCCGGCACAGTCCCTGGCCACAGCAGGTGCTCAGGAAAGGTCTGCGCACAAATGGAGGGGCACCGTCTTCATTCTTCCCCCTTTGTCTTTTCCAGCAGCTGGGGGAGTTCCCCATCTCCCGGGCCCTAGCCGCCACCCTGCCAGGTCTTGTTCTGATTTTCCTGTCCTGTCTACCCCTCTACCCCATTCACCTGGGCAGGGCACGAGGACACGAACAGGCACGTGGCTCCCTAGCACCAGAGTTGTCCCGGGCAACAGCTTTCCCTGCCATATCGGCATCAACCATCACTCCATCCAGAACCTGTCTCCTTGGGATCCCAACAACAGCAACAGGGCAGGGTGAGCCCAGGTGACTGGAGGGCTGGGGGAGGGGAGCATGGATTGCACCTGGCTAACAACCCCTCTATGGGCACCCTTCCAACAAGAGTGGCAAGTGCCCAGACATACAGCGTCTGTCTGTGAGGGTGCATACAGTGTGCGTGCATGTATGAGTTGTATATTTCTGCACTCGTGCACAGGTCTGTACCTATGTATTTCTGTACACCCACATATGTGCCCGTGAGCATACATAGCTAGATAGGTAGGTCTGTATGTGTTTGTGCCTGCACTGTGCGTGTGTCCATGCACATGCATTGGTGTGTACGTCCAGGAGCTCTGTCCAGGGCAGAAGACTTGCCAGGTCTTTCACAGTCCACTCTTGTCCTTGCTTAGACATTTCCTGTCCTGACTGTCACCCAGGCAGGCACCTCACCAAGGGACACGTAAGAAGCTGTCCCAAGGTTCAGGGGCAAGCAGAGTGACCCCCCCCCCAGTCTGGGTCTCAGGCAGGGCTCTGACGGCACACCTCCCCAGCGTGGTGGAGCTGCCCTGGTCAGAAGCTGGCATCATGGCATCATGGGCGGGAGGGCCCAGCCCCTGCCCCCACCTGCTCTGCACTCAGGGGAATGTGAAATGGACCTTATTGGAAAGCTGCCCTGCTGGAAGCAAGCAGGAGCTCACCCTAAGTCTGTGCTAGCCTCTTAGGCCGGGCGGGCAAGGAACTGACCGGCTCTTCTCCCCTCCCCTCCCCCCCAGCAAATGCCATTCAAAACATGGTGGCCCGTCTCTAAGAGATGCGTGGACACCAGTGGAAAAAGGAAAGTCTGCTTCCAAGATGCGTAAACTATTCTTGGTGACACAGCTCCTAAGTCATGTAGAATGTGTATGAGGAGTGCACACCAGTTCATGTCTGCTTGGTCCACATCAAAAGTCCCACCATTAGGCCAAGCCTTGCCCTGCTGGGATGGTCCCTTCACTGTGTGGTTCAGGGGCTGGACATGTACAGACAGGAGGGCAGCTCCCAACATGCCGCATGGGCTCCGCATGGCACCTGGGTGAACAGGGGTGAGGCAGAGATGGCAGGAGGAGGAATGGGCCTGGTGAGCAGGGGCCTCTCCTGGGGGCTGCAGGTGAGAGGAAGCCTGAATCCTCAGGGTAGGAAAGGCCACCTTCCTGGAAAGAAGGAATGTCCCTGATCTCCAGGCCTGGTCCAGGGCACCAGGTTCCTTCTCCCAGCATCCTCGGGAGGCTCACAGTTGCAGGGCAAGTCCCTGGGCAGGGACAGCTCTAGTCTCTTGCCGTCTGACCAAGGGCAAGCTCCTGTCGTGCTCTGGGCCTTGTAAGTCAAAGGGTTTCTGTGGCCCCCTCACCCCTGCCCCACACACCCAAGGGCAGCTCTCTTTTATCCAGTCTATGCATTGTGTCTAGCTGTTCGAGGCAGGAGGCAGGGCTTCCTTCCACCAGGAACCCGGATGATGGGGGCCTAGGGCCCCACATAGGGCCATGTTAATTCTCCACCCCTTTGGTTCCACTGCCACCCTGTCCCCATATGCTCTCACTCCTGTACTCATCCAAACCCTCCTCTTTACATCCGTACCCCGGGGAGTCATTCCAGCCCCACACTCCCCCAGCCCTCCCCTCCAGGGTGTAGGTCCCCACTGGAGGAATGCAGAGGGGGAGACAAGGCAGCCATCACAAGCTAATGTGCCGGTCTTCTCTCCAGGGATGGGGACTGCGGGGTGCCTGCCGGGGAGGTTCCATTACAGCTGTGCCCCACTAGTGAGAGCGGTGGCCAGTTCCTCTCCAGGCACTGGTAGGGCAGAAGCTCCTCAAACAGCTTCTGAGGACCGATTCCCTGGCCAGCAGGTCCCCTCCCTCCTGGGGGTCCTCAGGCTCCTTTTAGAGTGCTGCCTCCATCCCTGACACCCAGCACCTGCCCTGGCCTGGGAGCAGCACCCTCCCAAACGGGCAGGTTTGTGCTGCCCTGGCTGGGTGCTGCCCTGGCCAGCACACTCCTTCCTCTGGGAGACTGAGGTCCAGAGAGGTGACAACCACACCACAGGGCAGCGAGTGGCAGGGCAGAATCCGGTCCGGCCTCTCAGGCCCCGGAAGCTCTCTCCACGGGTCCTAGGACCCCCGGGAAGTAGGCTCTGCCTAACAACCCCAGGACAACCCTAGGTGGCCAGGCCATCTCTGACTGCAACCTGCGGTCTTTGAGGCCGGGACTGTGGGCAAGACCCCTGCTGCTTTGCGATACAGCCCTGCGGGCCGGGGCGAAGCCCTTCAAGTGGACTGTCCTTCGCAGGGAAGGCTGGGGGAGCGGGACTGCTGCAGGGCCGCCCTGCTCCGTGCCTTCGGGTCATCGGAAAGCTCACATCCCCCGGGTCACAGAGGCCCCCATCCGGCAAATCTCAGCGCCACCGCCCCACACCTCTGACCGCGACTCCCTCCAGCGGGGGCGGAGGCAAGGTGGCGGTGGGCGGGCCAGCCTCGGGCAGAGTGGGAGGCTAAGCCGAAGGAGGTGGGGGCACGCTGCCGGACAGGGGACGCACTGGGCGGACCCCGGGGTCCAGCCGCGAGCCCTACGCGGGCGTGCACCGTGACTGCAGGAAAGCGCGGCAGGCCCTGCGCACGCGCGCCGCTCGAGTGGAGCCGCTTTGTTCCAGCGCTACCTGCGGATCCATTCACCTCCTCCGCCCCGCCCGCAAGCGAGCGGGTGCAGCCCGCTCGCGCAGACCCCGCCCACTTCCCGCGCTGGGTGGGACCGGCGGCGAGCCCCGCCTTCCTCCTCCACGCTCTCCTTTGGCCGCGATTGGCCATCTGCACAACGCGCTCCCGCCTACCGCGAAAGTTGATTGGTGCGTGGGGAAGGGGGTAGGCGAAGGAGAGCCGATCCTAAAGGAGCGCTCCCCCGCCCACCCGCCCCAGTGCAAAAGTCACGTGGCGCTTCACTCGGCGCCTGTCACCACCCCGCTTGGAAAGCTTTCTTAAAGGGCTCGCGCTCTCTCCCTAGGACTGGTCCTTTCCAGGATTTCTCCACCCCTGCCCAACGAGGGTGGCCTGCCTGGGCCGTCCTACTTAGCCAGTGGCCCAGGGGCTGATTTCCGATCGGGCCTACTGGGGTGAGACCTCTGTCGGGTCTCGGAGCCTGTGGCCACCGCAGGGACGATGTGGTCACCTGAAACGGTGACCGCCTAAGCACAGAGCCTGGCACGTAGTAGGCGGTCAGTTTCCTTTTGTTGAATGAACTCGCCGAGAGAATGAATGGGGGGGTTGGCAGGAAGGGGGAGGTGGGCTCGGCGTGACCGCCCCATCGCGGGGGGACTCAGCGTCTGTTCGTGTGGGGAGGGGACGCCCAGTGCAGAACGCCCCCAAAGCCCCCTTTCGCGGTAGGGCCCTGTAGCGTTGGGAGCGCGGGCACGGGACCCAGGAGGGCGTCGTGCCGGGCCCTCTAGGCGGGTCACAGCCGGTTCCGGGCAGGGCGAGACCGCGGCGGCGCTGAGTCGGGGCGAGGGCCGGGGCACCCGGGGCCGCGAGCGCGCCCGCGTACCCCGTGGGGAGGGGCGGCAGCGGCGCGGCGCCTTTAAGCCCAGACGCCGGCCCCGCGGCCCCGCCCCCCGGAGGACGCCTCGGCGCGCGACCGCCGGAGCCGCCGTTTAATTGGGGCTGTCAGGCCGCGGCGCGCGCGGAGGGCCGGGCGGGACGGAGGCCGGGAGGCCGGGGCGGAGGGCGCGCAGCTCGGCGGGAGGCGGGCGCCCGGAGACGCGGCTGGGGCCCGCGCGGCCGGGGCGCCGTCCCTGGGCAGGGCTGCCCGGCCCCGGCCCGGGCCACCCGCGCTCCACATGAAAAACCAGCTCCGTGGCCCCCCAGCGCGGGCGCACATGTCGGCCTCGGGGACGTCGGCGGCTGGGGGTACCGGGGCGGGGTCGGAGCCCGGTGCGGGGTCCGGCGCGGGCACCGGCACGGGCGCGGCGACGGGTGCGGGGGCCATGCCGTGCAAGAGCGCAGAGTGGCTGCAGGAGGAGCTGGAGGCGCGCGGCGGCGCGTCCCTGCTGCTGCTCGACTGCCGGCCGCACGAGCTCTTCGAGTCGTCGCATATCGAGACGGCCATCAACCTGGCCATCCCGGGCCTCATGCTGCGCCGCCTGCGCAAGGGCAACCTGCCCATCCGCTCCATCATCCCCAACCACGCGGACAAGGAGCGCTTCGCTACGCGCTGCAAGGCGGCCACCGTGCTGCTCTACGACGAGGCCACGGCCGAGTGGCAGCCGGAGCCCGGCGCTCCCGCCTCGGTGCTTGGCCTGCTCCTGCAGAAGCTGCGCGACGACGGCTGCCAGGCCTACTACCTCCAAGGTGAGGCCACGAGACTCCCGTCCGGGATTAGGGATCTCCCGAGGCTCCCCGACGCCCCCGCCGGAGGCTGCTTTCTCTCCACGCGCCCAGCCTGCTCCGCAGGCGCCACGTCGCCCCCGGCCCGCATCCGCCCCTCCCCGGAGCCCGGCCCCCGCGGTTTAGCCTGGTGGGGGGGCCTCCTGTGCACCCCTTTTTGGGGGCTGGACAAACTTTACCCCGCCTGAGCTTTCCTTTTTAACTGTTGTTGGCGCCATAGCAGCGCCCAACTTCCAGCTGAGCCCCTCAGAGGAGGGAGGGGCCCCTCTTGGGACCCCCCCCCCAAAGGCATAGGGCACCGAAGTCCAGCTTCTCCAGCCTGGAATGCATGTCCCTGGAAGGCCAGGGTCAAGATGAGAGCGTTTCTCAGCCCCATCCCCGCCCCCAGGGTTTGGGTTGGGGGACTCTGAGTATTCCTGCATATTTCTCGCTGCTTGGAGGCATCTGGGTGGGGCTGTGAGTAGTATCCCTTGCCCTGGCCCTAGTTTTCCGGGTCCCCCCAGTCCCCAAACTGCTGCCCCTGAGCTTGCAGAAGGGGGAGGCAGCACTGGGGGGGGGGGGGCGAGTGGCTGCAGCCGGTGTTTCCAATTAACATTCCAAAATGGCCTCTCGCTGGCAGCGGGCGGGCAGGCGGGAGGGGAGGGGAGGCCTGCGGCACCCTCGGGCGCAGGGCCCATGCCTCGCTGCAAGGCGCTCCCGTCTTGTCCCTGTAAGGCCCCCAGTGGCCCTCTGACTCTGTGGGTCTAAGGCTAGAGGGGACTTATGTTCTAAGGGGGGTTCTGGAGAGGTGGAGCTGGGACCTCTTTTATGAATCTGCCCCCGCTGGGGGAAAGGACCAACCAATACTGTCACACTACCCTCCCTGACTCTGGTTGGGGGTGGGGGGCAAGCTCTAGACTCCCAAATCTGGAGGCTCAGGCCCTCTCTGCCTCTAACCCAGACACAGCTCTGGCATCTGCAGTCTCTTCTATAAGAGGCTTGCAAACCCACAGGTGCTGGCCTGAGATGGGGCTGTCTGCTTTCCTTTATCACTTAGCCATTATTGGGCAGCGTGTGTGCCAGGTGGGCACGGAGCTGCAGAAGAGGGCTGAGCTGGGGCCTGTCCTTAAGTGCCTTAAAGCTGGTGCTATGGCTGGGGCCCTGAAGCCTTGAGTAAGAGTATGGAGCTCAGGCATGTTACTTCTCCTGGGGCCTCAGTTTCTTCATCTATGAAGTGGGTCATAGGACAGACGTGGAAAAAACATGAGAAGGTACATGTGTGACATACTTGGCATGGCCCACGGTGGCTGTTGTTACGGTGCTTGACATGGGGACCCATGACCATGGTTGGTCTCCTGCAGCCCATCTGGGTGGAGGGGCATTGGCCAGTGGCATCGACAGTCTCTCACCCCAGCCCTGTCTTGCCCTGGCCACAGGTGGTTTCAACAAGTTCCAGACTGAGTACTCTGAGCACTGCGAGACCAACGTCGACAGCTCGTCCTCGCCAAGCAGCTCGCCGCCCACCTCGGTGCTGGGCCTGGGGGGCCTGCGCATCAGCTCGGACTGCTCGGACGGGGAATCAGACCGAGAGCTGCCCAGCAGTGCCACCGAGTCGGACGGCAGCCCTGTGCCATCCAGCCAGCCGGCCTTCCCCGTCCAGATTTTGCCCTACCTCTACCTCGGCTGCGCCAAGGACTCCACCAACCTGGACGTGCTCGGCAAGTATGGCATCAAGTACATCCTCAACGTCACGCCCAACCTGCCCAACGCCTTCGAGCACGGTGGCGAGTTCACCTACAAGCAGATCCCCATCTCCGACCACTGGAGCCAGAACCTCTCCCAGTTCTTCCCTGAGGCCATCAGCTTCATTGGTAGGTGTTGCTGTGCTCTGGGCAGGGTGGGTGGGCAGGCATGTCAAGGTGTGTACAGGACTCTGGGTGTTGCCCGTGCCTGACTGGGTACCTCTGGGCCTGCTGAGGCCTGTGTGTGCCCTGCATGTGCCAGCGTGTGCCCATGGGTGTACCCATGCCTGCTGTGAGTCACCGGGGCCCTCCAGGTCTAAGCAGTCCCCTGAGTCCTGGGCACCTCATAGCCTCTTCTGTCCAGCTTGGGTTTTTCTGGCTCTGCTGTTTCAGGCTGAGCAAGCTGAAACATCACAGCTCTCAGACCTCCCACGGGTCTCACTGGCTCTGCGTCACGCCTCAGCACACGTGTCTCTCCAGGATGGGGCTGTCACAGGGCCTCTTTGCCTTTACTGTGTACCTGAGGGGGCTGATGGGTGGTCTGCAGCCAAAGGCCTGCCCAAAATAGACAGCTGTTGGAATGTGGGGAGCCTGAACGCCTTGGTGGGCCCCAGATGCTCCCCACAGCCAGTGGGGTTTATTTGGAGTATAGGGGGTGTAGAGAAAATGTGGGGGGAGGCAGAGGAAGGCCTCCCCAGAGCAGTGTGCTCTGTTGTCTGGCTTAGAGCCCTCCGAGCCTGCTGTGTCCCAGCCTCAGCTGACTTGGTCTCCGGAGTCACTTTATCTCTAACCCCTCATCCTGCTTCCTCCTCAGCCAGCTGGAGGCTGTTGGATGGCAGATCATCTTCCCTGGCCTCCCCTCTCACCCATGGTGCTGGGAAGGGACACAGGGTGAATGAGAACCATGGTTCTCTGAGCCTGGTGACCCAGTGTTTCTTCCCAGCCTCCGGTGGCAAGGAGGGGTGGCCAGGGCAGTCTTATGCTGGTGGTGTGTCCGATGGAGGGCCTTTTGGTGTCAGCTGGGCTGGGCTAGCTTTAATAACAGGAAGTGGGAGGCTTCCCCGCCTCATCCGCTTACTGGGAACCAAAACTAGGTGCCTTGCCGGGAGGAAGGAAGGAAGCAGAGGCCTGGGGGAGGGGCTGGGGCTGCCCTGAGCGTCCGTCTCTGCCGGGACCTGGGCCACCGGGAGGTGGTGCTGCCCCAGTGAGTGGGAGAAATGGAGGGGTGCCCCATGCCTTTCCCCTTCCTGGAGGCCCCTCTACATCTGGGGAGGGGGCCAGAACAGGATGTAATGGGGGGGGACATTGTTCCCCACTTGACACGTGAAGGGATTGAGGCCCAAGCATCAGAGGACGTGGGACAGGCTCCAGCACCAGCCCCCCAGTGCTCAGCCACGCCCTGAGAGGGCTAAAAATAAAGCTGGCGGAAGTGGTTTCACTTTGGATCACACGGGAGTGGGTTTGGGGGCCAGGCGTTGCCCATATCCTGGTGTGTCACCACTGGAGGCTCATCTCCACCACCCCCTTCTGCCCCAAATCTCAAGGTCAGACCACATAGCTCTATGTGAGGCCGCAAGAACTCTCCCTCCTCCTGCTGGTCTTACCCCGAGTTAGCCCCGAGTGGGGATGAAGCACCTACTGCGTGCTTAGCCCTGGGGACTCTCGGGTGGGGGTGGGGAGGGGAAGCTCTGCCTGGCCGCAGGCGGGAGCACCAGCTGCAGAACAGTCTGAACCTGTGGTCATGGTGGGTGTGGGAGTCACTGGTTGTGCCGACTGCATGGCTCTCGGGGCTCGCGGACAGGGATGTGGGGACCTGGAGGGCTCAGGGCTGCCTCTTGTTGTTCTGTGCCCCTGGCACAGCTATGGTGTAGAGAGGGGCAGCTGCCCTGGGTCCGGGGCGGAGACCGAGTTGTTCAGTGGCTCAACCAGTATTTGTCGAGCTCCTACTTGTGTGTGAGGCAGAGGAGCAGAACGGGGAAGCCGAGACGGGTGCGGGCAGGGCTGGCAGTGATGGGAACTGTCACTGGCCTGTGGGCCTGCCGGGGAGGGTCCAGTACCACTTAAGCGAATCCCACTTGTGAAACCTCAGGCGTGGCTCTCCTGTCCCTGGCCATTCAGGAGCAGGGCTAAGCCCTGGGGACTGGCTGGCAGGGCAGAGCGGAGTGTGGGGCTGGGGCCCCTGTTCCCTGCGGAGGATGTGCCCATGGGGTGCATGTCTGTGGCTGGCCGTGGTGGATGCTATGACTTAGGAGGAGCCTCTGTGTGGCCTGGGGCTCGTTTCGCCTCATTTATAATTAGCTTAACTGGTGACCTGCGAGGGCAGGTGACACCGCAGCTCACTCGAGCAGCAGTGACCCGTCGTCACAGGGCCCTTGGCTCAGGCCCTTGTCAGAGCTGGTAACGAGGGCCCTGTCCTGTAGGCGGGCACACGGAGGCACGGGGTGTCCAGGGACTTGGCTGACACATGGCAGACCCCTCTCCCAGTCATGCTTTCGACCTCTACCCCAAATTGCTGTCCCACTCATGTGGGACTTAACCAGGTCTCTCAAGAGTGGGGCAGCACCAGCCAGTAACCATGCCACCCTCTGTGCCCCAGCCCTGCCTGCGGCTCCTTGGAGGTGCCTCCCTGACCCGTGCCTGTGTGTTTCAGACGAGGCCCGCTCCAAGAAGTGTGGTGTCCTGGTGCACTGCCTGGCAGGCATCAGCCGCTCGGTGACGGTCACTGTGGCCTACCTGATGCAGAAGATGAACCTGTCACTCAATGACGCCTACGACTTTGTCAAGAGGAAAAAATCCAACATCTCACCCAACTTCAACTTTATGGGACAGCTGCTGGACTTCGAGCGGACGCTGGGGCTCAGCAGCCCGTGTGACAACCACACACCCGGCGAGCAGCTCCATTTCTCCACGCCCACCAACCACAACCTGTTCCCACTGAACACCCTGGAGTCCACGTGAGGCCCGGGCACGGGTGGGCAGGGCGCCGGGCCCTCCCCGGACATCGCCGATGTCCAGAGGCCCCGGCTGGCAGGTGGCTGAGCTGCCCTCGTCATCCGGGGCGGACGGAGCCCACCGCCAGGTCCCCGTGTGCAGGACTTTCAGGGGCCCGGGCGCTCAGGCGCAGGGCTCGGGGAGTCCCGTGGGGCCTCCTGTGCTCAGGACCCTTCTTTCTGCTAACGGCTCAGCCAGTTCGGCGTTTTTTAAAGACACCCACGGACCCGAGTGTACTTTTTACTTCTGGCAGGTAAATCCAAGCCCCCCGGAGCACAGAGTGTTCACGGTCGTCTTGATTTTTCTTTTTTTAATGAAAAGTGTTATTTTCAGGCTATATACAACAGTGGATTGTATAAACCAGTATTTCATCCCTTTCTTGATCCTGCGAGAGAGAGAAGTGTTCTCAGTTTTGTTTTTCTTTCTATTTCCAAAAGCAGTTATTGGTTTTTTGTTTTCTTTTTTTAATGGAAAAGACAAACCCCGTGTTGATCTTGACCAAATGCATTTTGCACATGTGCGAAGCCCGGTTCTGCGGCAGGCCCTCCTCCAAGGGGTGGTTCGCTGCTCGGCGTGCGCCCCAATCGCGCCCACATCGCCCGACCTGGCCCGCGCAGCCTGGCCCTGCCTTGGGCGAATGACAGCCGCACGCTTGGGCGGTGAGACGAGTGGTCTCTGCCTTCTCTGCCTTCCCGCTGCCCTCGGGCGGCCCGCAGACTCCCAGAGGCAGGACCGGGCGGCCCCGCAGACTCCCAGAGGCAGGACCGGGGCCCTGCAGCTCCCTGCGCGGTGGGGCCGCGGCGGTGGGAGCATCAGCCCTCAGGGCTCAGCCCCACACAGGGCCCGGGCCCTTTCCTCTACATACTCACTACTTCTGTCTCTTTCTCACTCTCTGCTGGTTGCTGAGAGTGAGGGCCCAGTGGCTGGGGGAAGCTTAGGTGGTGGGGACCCAGCCCTGCCTCCCAGGTCTGCCCCTCACCCTGGCTGTTGCTTCGGTTCAGCTGCCCCTCCCAGCCCCTTTGTCCCAGTGGAAGCCTGCCCGGCGCCCGTCTTGCCCATGCCTTCTGTGGCCAGGAACCTCGTTCCCATCCCATTTCAGTCCCAGGGCAGGCGCGGGGCGGGGGGCAGGGATGGACAAGGGAAAGGGGTGAGGCCCTGTCCTCTGCGCCCCACCCCCGGCGTCTACAGAACAAAGCCACGGATTCCGTTATCCTCCTCCAGTTTTGTTCCTTCTCCAACCTCACTTCTACCTGGAGTCAGGACTGCATGGGGGCCGGCGGGGAGCAGCCGGGCCTGGTCCCTGAGCGAGCCGAACTTGGCCGGAGCGCGGCCACGCCCCTCCCCCCACTGCATCTTACCTCACGGGGTTGTTTCAGGGATTCTTCAGGCAGTGGGTTCGAATCTTGCCACAGTCGAGAAATCGACGAAAAGCTTCCATGCTGACACGGCTCTTTCTCTCTCTTACTTTTAAAAAGAAAAACCCAGAAAGATGCATCAGATTTGTGTGAATGAGAGTTTGCCAAGAGGGGGCCAGTTTTGCTTTATGACCTTATGAAGGAAAATTTGTGACCCTACATGTATACACACACACATATATATCCCGAGCCAGCGACGGGACTTTGTTTATATTGCAAATAAATATTATTTTTTCTTTAAGATGAGTCGTGGTGTCTGATGAGGGCCGGGGGCCAGGGGACACTGTGGCCAGCATCCCGGGGCTCGTTCGTGTGAGGTGGTGGCTGGGCCTACTGGGCACTTGCTTTGACAGGTCAGGTGCCCGCAGCCGGGAGGAGCTGCCCTGCCTCGGAGGAGCTGGGTGTGGGCACTCACCCAGCCCGTGGGCACGGGTAGGCCGGCACCGGCTTTCTCTGTGGGCTGGTGGTTGACAGGAGGAGGCCTGGCGAGGTTCATGGACCAAGGTCCCAACGCTGAGCCTCTGCTCACCAGTCTCTCCTGAATCTGCCTGCTCTGGACATTGCCTGGGTGCACAGGGCTCTGTCCCCTGCAGCCCCAGGGCCTGACCTTTCTCCTGCTGCTCCTGTCGGTGGGACCCTTGTGCACGTTTATCACACTCTCCCCACATCCCTGCAGCCGCAGGGCCACCAGTGGGACATGACACCTGCCCAAGGACAAGTCAGCCTACTTCGCTCCTTTGGAGGTCATGGCTGACCTCCGACAGGTCTCAGCCTTCCTGAGTCTGTTTCCATCTCTGTCAGGTGGGGTCAGTCACCCGGATACCCAGCCCCCTTCGTATTCATTTCCTGGTCCGGGCCTACAGGGAGGAATTGGCCACCCATGCAGGCCCCTCTGGGGGGCTCAAGACCAGTCCCTGGGAGCAGGGAAGAGGCCTGGAGAGGAGGGTGGTCTTGCCTGGGGAAGTAGGGCCCCTTGTGGGTGACAGTCCCGTGTTACAGGTGTGGACACAGTCTCCAGAGGGCTTCATGTCTCCATCTCCAGCTGGACTGAGTGACCCCAGTCAGGGACGAGGGAGTTTGGGTGCTGACTTGGTTTCCCCACCTCTGGCTCTCACATGACTTGCTCCCTTCCAGGTGACCTACACTGGACTGGCCCCGGATAGGCGGGTAAGAGGTAGGCTGGCCAGAAGGGGGAGGGCAACTCAACCCCTTTCCAAGGACCCTCCCGGCTGGGCTGTCCAGGCTCTACTCGCTGTGCCCTGCCCGCCTCTGCCTGGAGTGACCGCTGACCAGAAGGCCGCACCTGCGAGCACGGGAGGAGGGTGGAGGGCAGGTCTGTGAGCACAGGGGGCTGGTTTCGCACCCCAGCTGCGTGGCTGCTGCTCCTCCCCCTCGCGCAGAACTGGGGCCACCGCTGTGTGCCGGCCGGCCTGGGGGGGTGGGTGCTACATCTGCTCGTGTGCTTCCTGAGGCCCCGGCCTTCTGTGCCGGGGTGGGCACGGGGTGGGCGGCTGAGCAGGCAGAGACTGGGCCTTTGTTCCCTCTCGCTGCCCTCAGCCAGGGCTGGGGAAGCCCGCGGCGCCCGGCAGGGGGCTGGGCCCTCACAGGATGAGTAAGTGCCTGACGGTGCCAGTGTGCCCAGGCACAGGATGGCGGGGCAGCCCTCAGGACAGAGGCCTCCCCCACAGGGCCCTCCCCAGGCCCGGTGGCCTCTATGACCCGCAGTGTCCTCATCTGTAGAAATTGGCACCTCAGCACCTTGCCTGGCTGGGGCTCCCTTCTGGTGGGGACAGAGGGCCAGGTCATGGCTGGGTGGCTCACTTCGTGACCTTGGGCTGGGCCATGCTTATTCTGGGTGGCTGTTCCCCCTGGGTCCCAGGTTCTTGCTTCACGGTCCCTCTGACCTGGCCCACAGTCCACTCGGGGCTCATTATTGCACCTGTTCCTGCTCTACTGTTGCCCCAGCCTCCGAGGCGAAGCCCTTGGCGCCTGTGTCCCCGGACTCCTGGACACCAGCCGAGGTGGAGTCGGCTTGTCTCTGTGGCCTCGGTCCCATCTCTTCCCTCCCGACACTCCTGACCCTTTGCCTCCCTTGGGGGCCCCGCTTCTGTCTGCCTCTCAGCGCAGTTCCCAGAGACCCCTCAGCCACTTAGCATTCCCACGGGAGAGGGATCTGAGCTGCTCACCCGCTCGCCCTGCCGCCGTGTCCGGGCTGGCGGGCCGGCCCAGGAGTGGGAACATGCCCCAGGGAAGTTCAGTGATGTCAGGCTGGGCCGCAGGATAATGGGGCCCTCACTTGGCCTCTGATTAATGAATCAGGTGCAGCAGCAGCAGTGACTAAGGCCGGACACAAGAAAGGACTTGCAGCACCGTGGAGCCGTCACCTTGTAGGTCTGACAAGGAGACCACAGACGATGGGAGCATTTCCTTGGGGTGGGTCTGTTCTGAGCCTGGTGGAGGGGCAGCCCTCTGGAGAGCCCCCCCCCCCACAGCCCCTCCCCAGAGTGCAGAGTCATTCATCCCTCAGGAATGGGGCAGGGTGCGGGCGGGCAGCAAGCCCAGGATGGCACCTGCCCCTCCCCTGTTGCCGCCGCTGCCTGGCACTCGGGGCTGCCCTGGGTGTCCGCGTGGACGTGGCCGACAACATCAGCCCCCACACCCAGCCCCTAGCAGAGGCCAGAGAGCCTCATGGGTTGCAGTGTACCTGGAGGGAGGGTGCTAACATGTTAACCTCTGGGTACCCCAGGAGCCTGGGTTTCATGGGAGTGTCTGGTCTGATCTTTGACACATGTCCCCTGCTTGTTCCGGCCTCATCTGGGCACAGCCCTCGTGTCTTCCCAGAGGCCTCCGGGGATCGCTGCCCTCTGACTCCCGGTGCCCAGCAGACCTGAGAGTCCCGGGAGGGCTCAGAACCCTCCGGCCCCCCCAGCAGCCGGAGTCAGAGTGAGACAGGGTGGCAGTGGGCTCCCCACCCTGCTGCCTGAGCCTCCCCATCTAGGTCCTGCCTCCTTCAACCAGCTGGGAGTCTTGGCCCTCGGGCCCTGGAGGACCGGATATACACGCACGGACATGTGCACACGCACACACACACACACCCTCGTTTCTCAGATGAACAAGCCCAAGCAGGCCTCACAGCGATGGAGGGACCACCTGCCTCTGACTCCCGCCTCCCGTCATCAGGGCGTGGCCTGCGTGAGGTCCTCTCTTCCCAGGCCATGAAGCCCACCATTAGCACATCTCCAGAGGTAGGACCAGGCCTCGGTCCCATTGTCTCTGGGTCAGATGATCCCCTACAGATGACACAGGACTCCAGCCCCTGCCAGAACCCCCTTGTCTCCGGCAGCAGCCCCTTCCCGGGCCGCCCACCGCCCACCTGCAGGGGCCAGCACCTACCTGCAGCTTCCGGGCATCGTGTGTCTCCATTGGCCCCTCCACACCCACACCTGCTCCGCTGGCCCAGAGGGGAGCAGCCGCAGCCCTTCTCGGGCTGTGCGGACCAGGAAGAGCCGGGCTGGGGCCCAGGGGAGCCCTGTAAGGGCTTCAGGCCCAGGGCTGACAGGATCTGGTTGGCACTAGAAGGATCCCCTGCTGCTAAGAGGAGAATAGCCAGAGGAGCAAGTGTGCAGGACAGGGGACTGTGAGGAGGCTGCGGTGGTCGTTGGGGTGGACAATGGGCACTGGACCTCTGCGACACAGTACAGAGGGCAGGACGAAGCCTTGTGCGAGGCGGGGCTCACGGTGTGAACAGAGGGTCCCAGCTCGCCCGACTCCATGTCCATGGCCCGCGTGCCAGCTGCCATGCCACGTGGAAGGGTGAGTCTGAGCCAGGACACGGGTCCGTGGTGAAACCCTGGCCACTGGACAGAAGAGGCCCCACCCACCTGTCCCCATCCCTCACTGTGCACCCACGTGCCGAACACCCCGGGAGAAGAAGCAGGGGCCCACAGTCCTCCCTCCTCCTGGAGACTTTCCCAGGACGGCACAGCCTTGTGGTCACCCTCCGAGCCTCAGTTCCCTCATCTGTACCGTGGGGACAAGAATCCTGGTTCTAAGAGGAGAAAGCAGAATGAAGGACCTTCCTCTCAGCAGAGGGCTTGGGAATGTGTCCCGGTGATGTAACTGGGACCACCCCCTGCAGAGGACACCTCCCGGGGACAGCCTCGGCCAGTTCTCTCTGAGCTGGGTTCTTAGCCGGTCCATCAGCTCCC